ATAAACTTGTTTGTATATAAAGTGGGGATATATAATTACTCCTAGTATTCTTTAATTGCCATAAGTAAATACGGGAAGTTTCACAGAGTTCTGATCCCTGCTTCGATGATTCTGCTCGTTGATTTATAATTATGTTGAATGGTAGGATGTTGCTGGGCATTTTCCACAGTGGCAGCAATAGAAGGAATTATAAAGCTTAAGACAGGCAAGTTAATATCATTATCAGAGCAACAGCTTGTGGACTGTGATGTTGGAAATAACGGCTGTCACGGTGGTTTCATGGACAACGCTTTCCAATATATTATACGAAACGGAGGGCTAGCAAGTGAAGATAATTACCCCTACCAAGGAGTAGATGGCACTTGCAATAGCGAGAAGGCATCATCTATTGAAGCAGAAATAACTGGGTATGAAGACGTGCCACAGAATAATGAAAACGCTCTCCTGCAAGCTGTGGCCAAACAGCCAGTATCTGTTGGTATTGACGGTGGTGGGCAGGATTTCCAGTTTTATAAAAGTGGTGTCTTCAAAGGGGATTGTGGGACAGAGCAAAACCACGCCGTTACTGCAATTGGATATGGTACTGACAGTGATGGGACTGATTATTGGCTGGTGAAGAATTCGTGGGGAACCAGTTGGGGTGAAAGCGGGTATATGAGGATGCAAAGAGGCATCGGTGCTAGCGAGGGCCTATGTGGCGTTGCCATGGATGCTTCTTATCCGACTGCATGAGTAAACGTCAAGGGTCGTGTGATTAATCTTATACTAAATATATAGTACTTGATTATATAGATACCGTTTGGAAAGTTTGTATACACACTTAGTGTGTATTTGATATTGTAATAGTTTCTAAGGATATGGTTTGAAAAAAATAAATTTAAAAAAGTTATGTTTTACTTAAAAATATGATTGAAATTATTATTAAATAAAAAATAATTAAAAAATATTTAGTTAAAACAATTGTCAAAATATGTTGTCATATTCCAATTATTTTTGTGGATAAATCTTAATTTAATTTATGTAGTAGTTAAATGTGTTATATAAAATATGATTGATGTAGCAGAATGAATTGTGATATAATGAGTTCAAGAAAATTAGATAATAAATAAAACATGAATTAATTATTTATTAAAATATAACATGTTGAGTTAATAATTTAAAATCCTGGAGGCTTTGCTCAAATTTTGATCATTCTCCAATCATAAAAAAATATTACATTGTTTTGGGAAGTATTACAAGGAGATTGTACCTAAATAATTGATGATGTTAAAGATGTCTTAAAGATTTAGTACTCTTGATTAAAGCATCAAGAGTAAACTAGAAATTATCTAGGAGCATTTCTATTTTTGATCTATTTTGTGTTGGTTTTGGGGTTGAAATTTTTTTAAGGCCCATTTCTCTATTCTATAAATAATTTATGTTAAAATTAATTGTCTTAAAATCTTAATAAATAAAGAAAGAGGACAACTAGAAGTGGTTTAGAGGGCAACTTTTCAATTTCATTTAGATGTTTGTCTATGTGGTTTTACTATGTTTTATATAAAATTTAAATTTTTTCATTTCAAATTAATATTTTGAATTTTTTTAATATCTTGATATTAAAAATAAATTTTAAAAAAAAATTATTTTAATATTTACACACAAAAAAAAGACAAACATTGTAAAAAAAATAAAATCAATATCACAATATCAAGTATTATCTAAATGTGAATTCACCACTTGTTTGAATTGTGAAGTCTTGCCCATCTCACGAATGAAAGCACAACATTCAACAAGCAAATAGGATCCAAAAGCGAAATTCTGCAAGATTGAATTCAACCATTAAGAAGAAACCAAAGCCCCCCATGGCCATATTCATAAAAAAAAACACAATAAGAGGAACCTTCATGTTTTTTTATCTTTTTTACATTCAAACTTATCTCAGATAAAAGATTAACAATCCCATCAAACCCATGAATACAGCCCAAAGAAGAATTTATCTCAGATTAACAAAGTCTTGGCCCAAACTTATTAACATTTATGAAAGAAGATTTAAACCCGACACTACGTAGATTGAAGCCCACAAACCATCACATCCTTTAACTTATTAACTAAAAATCAAACCCGTGTGTTTGAGCCATCCTTTTTCCCAAACCCCCAGCCTCCCACCGCTTCTCCACGAAATACAGAAGTCTTTTATGAACATAATCACGCAAGTTATAAATTTATTTTTCATGACAAGTTGACTTTCCATACAAGATTCAAGGAATTAATCTCCTTTGATGGCATTTGTCAGAAGAACAAAGACCATTTCATCAAGTTCAATCACATTTGGGGTCTTAGCTAAGCAACAACATTGAAAATAAAAAATTCTTTTTAAAGTTAACTTAGCCTTGGCTTAGTTTCACGGAGAGAGCCAACAACACATTATGTGTAAATTTAGATGAGTGAAGAAATTATTCAACACATGAGCTATAACTGGGAACCATATAATTTAATCATAATGAACAGAATGGAGAGAAGACTGTAGGAAAAACAAAGTAAATTATACAAGGAGAAACACTCATATCAAAATAATAAAACCCCCTCCTCGATATATATTATAATCATAATTTGATTAAAAATAAATTGTTCATGCATGGACTAACTAGCTAGTGGAATTCTGTTCTTGGGCTGGGGATTCCAAATTATATAGAAGTTTCTATATTGGAGCAAGCTATAATTTCAAATATCTCTACAATCCATATTCATATCTAGTGTAAAAAGTATGCTAGCTCCTCTAGGTTTTACTCTAACACGTGAGAAGAAATATTGTGAATTTGTTTATTTTTTTTAATCCTTCAATTATTTTGTAATTCAATTATTAATTTTGTTTCTTTAATTTCATCCTTCTATATTAAATTAGCTTTAAATTAAACTTCATAATTTATTTTGATTTATTTTCAATGAGGTTATTTAAATGTCAAAGAATATCCCAAGATTATATTGATGCTTGATATTATATGTATAAAAAAAACACTCAATTTTGTTGCTTGTGAAAAAAATAAAAACAATTTTAGAGGACCAAATTTAACAAAGACGAAACAATACAAGGCTTCTTTGTCTACTTTTCAAAACCATGCCTTTGAAGAACTTATGCATAAACATTTTGAGCAAATTTATTTTCAATCCCTTTCCTTTGATAATTTAACATTTTGGTCTAAAAATTTATTTTATTTATATTTCAGTCTTGGAGTTGAAAAGAGAAGAGAGAAAATCATTGAAAAGCATGAATTAGAGATAAAGTTGTTAATTTATCACATTTCAATCATAAAAGTCAATCTTTTGTGTTAATAAATTTCATTCAACAAAAAAAGTTTCATTGAGGTGTTTTTTGACCTTTATCTTACCAAAAAATGTTTTTTAAGTGTTTTCAATGCAAACAAAGTTAAAATAGTTTTTTTTTCTTCTAGATTCATATGTTAGAAACATGACTTTTTAGCCACCATGAATAGCTAGAGTTTGACAATAAACAATGTATCATTTGCCACTACATATAATGTGTTGTTTAATTTGTTTTAAAAAAAATATTGGAAAGACAACACGTCATCGACCTACTCTAACTAAAAAAATAAAAATAAATTAGATATAGACCTACCCTTGCAAGCTCTCCTTGCACTGGATCTACTTTTGTTTTGGTTTTTTTTTTAAAAAACAATTTTGGTCTTGGAGACCAAAGGTTGTTAGAATATTTATTTTTGAGCCCTATGTTGTTGTTTTTTAATTATAATTAGTTAAATAAAATAAAAAAGTTACTTTTAGGATATCATTCCGTTAAATACCATTTATTTTTAAAAAATAATATTATAATATCTTTTATTATATTAGCAAGCATTGTTTGTGTGCATCCTTTATCGATTTTTTTAACTATTTTTTTCTTAAAGTTTAATCAAAATCATTTATTATGATAAAAATATTGTTTTTTTGAATTCTATTTCTTTTTATTCAATAAGCTACCCTTGTTATAGAAAAAAATTTAGTAAAAAGAATTATCTGTTTCTTCTTATTCAATGAGCTACTCTTGTTATAGAAAAAGATTTAGTAAAAAGAATTACATTATGAATCACAAAGGTAGGTTTCAAAAAAAAAAAAAACAATTTAGTTCCAAAATTTTATTCATTGTACTGCGTGCTAATGCATTTTTATATCCATTTGATTGGTTAAAAAATAGATTTCAATTTTTTTTTTGTGACATCACATGAAAAGTATGTTATTCTTTTATATTTGCATAAAAAATATCAAAACTTTATTGTTTTATTTATACTAACACTTGGTTTTAAGGTTATGATAAGTTGTTGTTTAAAAATAATTATTCTGATAAAAGAAAAGTCTCAAAAAAGGGTTAATTAAAGAGATGTCTTTTATCCTTATTTCATTCCTTTAAAAGTTTTTTTAATAAAAAAACCATTAATTTCCTCCATGTCTCAAAATGCTATATTAAAAAAATGATGATAAGAAAAGGAAGAATTATACTATAAAGTTATTTTGTTTTGTTGAAATTTAAATTAGTGCTCTTCTTTTGAAAGAAAAAAAATATTTCAACATACAATTAGATAAAAATTTTGAAGAATTTTCCAAAAAATAAGATAAAATATCTTTATCTATATTTATCTCTTAATTTCTTGACTTAGTCTTAAATTAAAATTAACAAATTTTTAATATTTATTGACACATAATTCTCAATTAATTTTGTTAAATGTGTGCATCAAGTTTTCTTGACTATGGAAACATATTGATAACACCTATATTTTTTTTAAATATATATATATATTTATAGGACCCATGGTAAAATACAAGTAAATTGATTAGCGAAAACTAACATTAATAGAACTTAATTAACCAAAACTACAACTCTTGGGGAAAAAAAACATTTTTCACCCAAACTCGGTCATGTTCATTAGTACAATGTAATAACAATTTTGTTCTTGCCATAAAAAATAATTGAACTAGCTATTGATGGTTGAACTAGCTATTGATGGTTGTAAGGTCGGTGCAGAAGGTTCATTTATTATTAGTAAATTGTTCGAGATACAAGTAAATCTTTTTTTCATTTTAAAATCATAATGAAACAACTAAAATATCCAAGGAAGCAAAACATTTGGAGTTGGCGTGTAAGAGCATTTTCTTCTTTTCACACTAGTATTGTGGTGATAATTATGATGGATAAGAGGCAATTTAGTATTTTAATAAATATAAAATATACTTGAAAAAAGTAACCGGTGCATGCAAGGCACTTATTAGCACATGGGAGGCCTGATAAGCGCCTCGTGGAGGTAAAAAAAAAAAATACTCTTTTATTATATCGCTAAAATCCTCGCAACTTCCTTTTCCTGTTAGAGCATTGCTTGTAATCATTGGTGAGGTGGTTTTTCTTTGGTAACACTTTCTTTCTTTTTCCCTTTTTCTCTTATCTCCTCCCCTCAAAATTCTTGCTAACCATGCAAAATGTTTTAGTGGTCCTTTCATTTATTAAGATTTTAAATTTGGCCCTTTGATAAAATTTTAATTTGTTTCAATTTCATCCTTCAATCAAAATTTATGATATTTTGTTTTTCAATTTAATCCTCATTGTTTTGATTTAATTTTGCTTCTTTTGTTAAATTAATTTTTCTTTTAAATTTTAGCCTTCAATAAAAAAAAACTAGTTTCCCTCTAATATCATTATTCTTTTAATTTTAATTTTTTATTTTAGATCCTTTTGTATAATTGAATTTTTTAAAATTTTATCCCTCAACATTCGATTGATTAGGCATTTAAACTCATGGTTTTTCCAGGTGAAGTGCTTCCGGTCTAATAACCTGAGTCTTAGGTTTGGAAAGTTAATGCCCATTGATATTGTTTTTTTTTTTATAATTAATTTTTCTTTTTGATACCATCATTTGGAAAGTTAATGCCCATTGATATTGTTTTTTTTATAATTAATTTTCCTTTTTGATACCATCATTTGACTATATATATATATATATTAGGCTTTGTAATTCTCTGTTTTTTCTTTTTTTTTCTCTTGGGTTATCATTGTTTCATGACCTGAGCAAGTTTTATAGGTTATTTCAGGTTGACTTGGTCTTTTTTATAGAACCATTTAAAAAAAAATTAATCTTTTTTCAGTCATATCCTTCAAAATATTGTTTCGTCTTTCTATATTTAAATATTGGGAATTGAGTTATATTGTTTTTTTTTTTTGAAAAACGTCTTTCTATATTTAAATATTGGGAATTGAGTTATATTGTTTTTTTTCTTTTGAAAAAAGGTTTGTTTTTTTGCAAGATTATCATAATTACTTTTTTTTGTTTATTGAATATCATTGTTTTTTTAAAAAAAAATTAAAATAAAATTAACTTATTTAATAACTCGAATTGTAAATTTAATTTTTAAACATGCTTGCATGACCTGAATATCATTTTTTTTTATACGAGAATAAATAACCCTATTGTGAAGAGCGGATCGTTAAGTTAGTGTTTTAGCTAAAGTATCAATTTAAGCAACCTCGAAATTTCATAATAAAGTTGTCTTCCTTGGAATTATTGTGAAATCAATGGAAATTTAGTTTTGATACATTTAATATCACAAAATAAAAATTATTCTAAGCTGTGCCCAAACTGTTTTAAATGAAATATTAATTACATCCACAAAAATAAAGGAATCTAAACTTATTGATGGTTGGGTTTTGGAATTTATGGTTTTGGTTTTCTAGGTGGAGTTCTTCTAGTCTAATAGCTTAGCCTGAATGGCAAGTTTAAAAAGTTAATGCATATTAATATTATTTTTTTATAACTAATTTTTGTTTTAATACAATCATTTGATATATATATATATATATATAGGTTTTGTTTTTTTTTTTTGTTTTTTTTTTTTGGATTTTCATTATTTTATGATTTTGGAATACGAGTTTGGTATATTAATATGATTTAACTCGATTTTTTTATAGAGCCATTTTTTTTAAAAAAAAAAGTAATCTTTTTTCCGTCCTATGCTTCAAAATCCGTGTTTTTTCCTTCAAATAAAAATTATTGCATGCATATTTCAGTTATTTGGACGAAGCTGTGCCCGGGCTGTTGTAAATGGAATCATAATTTCATCGGCAAAAATGAAGGAATCCAAGCTTATAGATGAAGGTTCACTAGGTTAGTACAGGGCTTGAAACGAAATCAAAGGCGCTTGAAAACCAATGGATTCAATTAACGAAAACTCTACCAGTGCTGTCTTCGGCATTGGTCGTAAAAAAAACATCCCACGTATCGGTTGGTTCGTCTCGGTTTTAATTTAAAAAATAAATAAATTAAGGAGGTGGAATCTTCCCCCATTCCATTAATTATTGAAAGAGATGGTTCGATCGTTGATCACACGGACACTGGCAACAAGAAGAAGAAGATTGGAAGTTGTAACCCATGGGAGGTGCTGGTCTGTCCCTCTTATCAAAATCTAAGCCCCAAATTTCCACTGAGCTTCTTGACTCCTGTGGTTGCACCCCTTGGACCCTTCCTTGGTTGCCGTGATTTGCTCTCTTCTAGTACCTTTTTTTTTTAAAGATCTCATCTAAGTCTTGATTCATTTATTCCTTGTTCACACAAGCCGGTGATTATGCAAGTTTGATGCTTGATTTTGTAATGAGCATGCGTGATTAATGGTTTAACCAAAGAAGTACCAGTTTCTTTCGTCTTTCACTTGAGTTGATTTTGCATTTGCATACTATGATCTGCCTTCCACGTAGAATTTATGTTGGTGGGCGCAATGTAAAGATGCATGGCATGATTATTTGACATAAACAGATGGGCTTGCGTGAAATTGTGGGCTTGCGTGAAGAATATAGATAAAGATATAAATAGGTTAAGTATAAAGTGATAAATATTTTAAGTATAAAGAATAAATAATAATTTTTTTAAAAAAAATATAAAGGATAAAAAAGAAAAACTAAAATAAAACATTACAAAAGAATGAAAATAAAAGAAAATAATAAAGGAAAAAAGACACAGTAGAAAAAGGAAAAAAAATCTAAGCAATTTTTACTTTCTAAAAGAAATAAAAACTAAAAATTTGATATCATTACAATAAACAAATTAAAAAAATTATATTCGTGTTATTTCTGTAACACCCTCATCAAACATAGGATGTTAAAATATGAAATTTTACAATAATTTTACACATTATTATTAAATATAAACTTTTATTATGGCTAATGTTTTTGACATTTATACACTTGGTCATGCTTATTTATTTATTAACAATTTTACTGAAATTTTAGTAAATTTTTTTTATATATAGACGTACCAAGTTATTTACTACTCTTTTCATATTACAAGTTATTATCATAAATATGATTTAGCTTCTAATAATTTGAGCTGGGGGTTTGGAAAGTTAATGCACATTGACTTTGTTGTGTTTTTTTTTTTTTGTATAACTAATTTTCCTTTTAGATACCATCATTTGACATTGTTTATATAGACTTTATAATTTTCTTTGTTTTCTTTTTTTTTGAGTTATCATTATTTAATAACTTGGATTGTAGGTTTGACAGGTTAATCTAGGTTGAGTCGGTCTTCTATATAAAGCTTTTTTTAAAAAGAAATTTTAATTTTTTTTCAGTCTTGTCCTTTAAAAGTTGGTTTCGTCCTTTTGTATTTAATTGGTTGCAAATTGAGCTATATTGTTTTTTTTCCTTTTGAAAAATGGTTTTTTTGTTGTTAAATTTAAAAAAAAAAACAAATCTAATTAAAATAAAACCAACTTATTTTACAACAATAGGATGTTGAAACTTGAAATTTTACAACAATTTTACATGAATATATACGAGCCTTTATCATGGCTAATTGTTTTACACTTATTTATACACCGAATCATGCTTTTTTATTTATTAATAAATTTACTAAAATCACACCTCCACAATAGCATTGATAAAAATTAAAATGAACCTGTTAAACAAGCTATTATTTATTTTATGACAATACTTCTAATTGGGTAATTCGATATAAGTTTCAACAATTTACAAAAAAATATAATTTTATAAAATTTAAAGCAAACCGTAGCAAGTTCAAAATTATACATTTGTACTACAAGTTTGTTTGATAAATAAGAATAAAACAAGTACATACACTAAAAAAATACATATACAAAATTTTTTTAAAAAAATTAATAAAATTGATATTTTAATGTTAAAATTAAGAAAGATAGATTTATTTATAAAAAATAATAAAATCCACAATAAATCAGAACACGAATGTTGTAACTATAAAAGTTAAAGTAGGATGACTTGTGTTGAAAAGAGGAGAATATTTTTAGGGGGGCGGTTGTTTGCAGATTGGAGGTGGGGTAGTTTGTTTAGATGTAATCGTAGGGGAAGAAGAAGGAGAAATAGGGGAGGGGAAGGGAGGGGAGGGTCGACAGCGTGGTGATATATTAACTTTAACTGATAGAATCACTAACAAAATATTCATGGTGATATATTAACTTTTACTAATAGGATCACCGACAGAATATATGGAATATTTTTTTTTTGTGATTCTATCGGCAATTCTAGCTGTGAATGGGTCACATCACTATACGTAGATCGTTGATAAAATAGCCTGTAAAAACTTTTACATCATTGAACTATTTTTTTTTTCCTTTAAAATTCTATATATTCAATCTATTTTTTAGTCAGTATATGCTGATACCACATAATTACCAAGTGATTAACATCCATCAGTAAATATCATCGCAAATTACCTACAAAAAAATTCCATCTGTAATTTTGTTAGTTTTAGTCGAATTTCTTATAGTGTATGCAAGCTTTTTTGCCATTTTTTTATTAAAAAAAATATAAAAGAATAAAGAAATGAACAAAAAAATTTGGCATAAATAGACTAAGTATAGAGTGATAAGTATTTCAAGTATAAAGAATAAAAAAATTCCAAAAGAAGTATAAAGAAAAAAAAGTTAGCCAACAAAAATAATTTTGGTTTTTTTTATTTAAAAAAATGCTGTTTGGTTTGGTTTAGGTTTCTCAAATCAAAAACAAAACAAAAATGAGCTAAACAGATTTTCTTTAATTTTTCCATTAAGTATTTTGAATTTAATATTTTTCTATTAAGAAAAATACTGAGATCATGGAAGTTTGAACGCCGAATCTTGATGCTACACAAAAGATACCTTTCCTACATTTCCATTCAAAAATAACTCCAAATTTGACTTCCAAACGTCTTCTAAGCCCCGAACGTAGAATTAAGACTAGTCACATAGCAAGAAGCCGGTTACAAAACTGGGTCTATAAAACCCATTGCGCTGTTTAGAATTTGTTGTACCAATAAAAAAAAAAACTCACTTACAAGGCTGTAGACGCAACTCATATACTCTTATACGTACCATGGCCGCAAAAAAATGCAATACTCATATTTTTCTGCCATTTCTCCTTATTTTAGCTGCATGGGCAACAAAAATAGCTTGTCGTCCTCTGGATGAGCAGGAATATATGTTGAAGAGGCATGGAGAATGGATGGCTCAATATGGACGTGTCTATGGAGACATGAAAGAGAAGGATAAACGATACTTGATTTTCAAGGAAAATATTGAACGTATAGAAGCATTTAACAACGGTTCTGACCGCGGATACAAGCTTGGTGTGAACAAATTCGCAGACTTGACCAATGAAGAATTCCGTGCCATGTATCATGGGTACAAGAGACAATCATCCAAATTGATGTCTTCATCATTTAGATATGAAAATCTAAGTGACATACCAACTTCAATGGATTGGAGAAATGCTGAAGCAGTCACCCCAGTTAAAGACCAAGGCAGATGTGGTAAGTATACTTAATAATTTATATTTTATAGGTTAAATCTTTTATCAATTATGATAACTACGTGGTTTTGGAGCTCGGCAAACATCACCAATTAGGCAATGTTTTGCTCAGATCTTG